GGTTTAGGCTGTTGTACACAGGATCGCTATGAGTCACAAGCGACTCGATGGCACATAACAACAACGACACAAAAGAGAGGACTTTAGTCCTCCAAGGCAGAAACTGGAAGCTTCGTCATTTCAAGCTTTTAGATGTGAACTCTTTAGACTCTTCATTCAGGAGTTTTCATCTTACCATTTGTCTTCAACATATTCTCTAAAAGTGGACCTCGGACTCTCCCCACTCAAGAGTCTGAGGCCCCCCCCTACTCCGGGCTGCGGCTTCTAGGAGGGTGTAACTGAGTTCTCTACTTCTCCTGCCTGGCTTACGAGCTGTGAGTGAGACAGAGTCTAGAAGTTCCTAGTTCCCCAAATCAAAAGTGTTTTGCTTGGTTGAGATTTTCTCCAGGCCCTGACCACACCTGGGTCTGTGGGGAAATGCAGGCCGGCCACGGGGATCTGTGGCCACACGAAACAACCCCTTGGTTCTCAGAGGCAGCTCTCGGCAAGCTCCCCAGAAGAGCAGTGAAGGCCCTGGACACAAGAGTGAAAATGGGACAGGACACACACACAGGCACAGATAGACATCAATCACCAGTGGTTTTAGAGGACAAGGGTCAGCTGGGGTCACCTGAGAGGAAAAACACCAAGTTCCCCGCTCTCCAGGCCCACATGAAGCTACTTCCCACAGGAAGGCGAGGGCTCGTGGCTCTTTGTCGGGAGGAATCGTCAGAGGGAAAGGCAGTGAGGCAGGCACACACAGAAGACCACACTGTGGATGAGAACAGAGCCAGGCTGGCTCCAGCCCATTTATTACAAAACAATGATTATAAGAGTCTGGTACCGAAAAGGTCCCTGCCGACCTGGGACACCTGGGCTCCCACCCTCAGGCCCCTTGGCCATGGGGGGGCTTTCATATGCGGAGGTCCCCCGCCAGCAGGGCACTGTGCCGTGTAGGAGTGAGGGGCAGGTAGGCGCCCAAGGCCTGGTCCAGGACATACAGTGGGTCGGGCAGAGAGCTGGGGTCAAAGCCCTCATTCGCCATCCGGACCTTCTGCTGTTTGAAGGTCTCAGTGGTGGCCAAAGACTCCTGCAGAGACGGAGAGGGCAAGGGAGTTGAAAAAGAGGCCTTTGTGCCTCTATCAGATGCCCAGCTGGACGTGAGGGGCGAGGGGCAGGCCCTTCCACCCCTGAGGAAAGGGTGTGTGAAGTGTCTGCTTTTAGGAGAGGTGGCAGGGAAAAGAGCAAGCCAGGCTTGGAGATGGCGGGGCTAGAGAGAAAGCAAGTGGTTCCTCTTCACAGAGTATGTTATATGTGGCATCGGGAGCCATGCTGTGCACAGATGGGGTGGGGTGTGGGAACAGGAGCGGCTGACTACCTGTAGCCTCAGGAAGCGAGGTCGGGCATAAGGGGGCAAGTTCTCCGCCACATGGGTGTAGAGCTGCATGAGGTCCAAAGAGTGTGGGGGACGCAAGACCAGGGCTGCCATTCCAGCCCTTCCTTCATGTCCTGGTGGGTGTGGGAGGTGAGTGAGCCACCCATGGCTGACCGTGAGGCCTACCCTGCAGGGTAGCACACTCCCCCCCCACCCCTCAACACCTCCCAGGTCCGGGCACCTGGCACAGCGACTCCATAGACATTGACTTCCTGAAGGAAATCGAGGGCCTCTAAGACCTCAGCCACCTCAGTTGTTGCCACATTTTCCCCCTTCCATCTGCCAGAGAGTAGAAATGCCACAGTGTGAGTCAGGGGTCAGGACCTTAAAGCTGAGTGGAGGGAAAGAGGTCAGAGGCCAGGGTGATGGACCATCACAGGGATTAAAGGTTTACGAGGTCTAAGAATGCAAGATTAGGTGAAGAGCTGGGTTGGGAAACAGAGGTTTAGCTCGGGAGTGATGGTCCCCAGAACAGATGTCAAGGACAAAGAATCAGAAAAGTTAGGGCCACATACCTGAAGGTGTCTCCTGTGCGGTCATGGAAGCGAAGGAAGCCTTGGTCATCACAGACCAGCAGGTCCCCAGTGTTGAAGAAGACATCTCCGGGCCGGAAGACATTCTCCAGCAGCTTTCCCCGAGCCAGCTCTGGGCCCCCGGCGTAGCCCAGGAATGGGGACTGTGGGCTCACTGGGGCCACCAGCAGCCCAGGCTCCCCTGGCAGAGTCACTGGGGTTAAGGGGGGCTGCCCACCTTGGCCAGAGTTCTCTGCCCCAACGCCCACCGTCAAGAGCTTCAACATTCCTACCCACTCCACCTGAGTACCAACCAGGAGATGTGGTCACACAGTGCCCCTGGGCGTCCCGAACCGGCTCCCCTGTGGTGACATCATAGCGAATCAGAGAGAAGGGGAAGACGCGCTGGGGGAAGGGAGACCCGGGGCGGGTCACTCCAGTTGGCATGAGCCTCCTCACCCCCAAGTCCTCGCCCTTTCTTCCCTGCCCCTTACCTTATAAAGCCAGGAGGCGCGTCCTACCATGCCCTGCTGTCCCGTGTAGTTGAAAGTGGCCACATTCCCTTCTGTCATCCCATACGTCTCCAGCACTTGTAGGGGCCCAAAGCGCCGCACAAATCGTTCCCACGTGTCTGGGCGAAGCCCACTGCCCACGGCCAGCCGGACTTTATGGTCACGCTCGGCCTCATTCTGAGATAAAGAAGAGGGGCAGAGCCTTTGTGGCTGAGACGCTGCTTTCCAAGGCAAAGTGCTACTCCTTCCTGCTACCCTCCAAGCGTAACCCCCCTTCATCAGATGCCCGGCTCCCTTTCAAGGCCCTCATCCCACCCTGCCACGTCCTTCTCCTCCTCCTAGGATGGACTCCTGTCCAGCGCCCTGCTCTGCGGCCCATCGCCTGCTGCAGCAGCTCTGTCCCAGATTTGTGCCCACGCACCAGGGGTTGGTTGACAAGATATCGGCACAGCTCCCCGATGTACTGGAACACGGTTACCCCGTGTTGCTGGCAGTCCTCCCAGAACTGACCGGCTGAGAACTTGGACTTCAGCACCACTGTTGCTCCTGCCAGGAGGTGGGGGGGAGGGAAGAGGGATGTTAAGGGCTCTGGGAAAGCCCTCATGCCCCCCTTCCCAGACACTGGCCTCCCTGGGAGCTGCTGTGAGGATCACGCTTTCAGTGGGCCTGGGAGGCCCTCAGCTGCTCCTACCTGTCCCTTGGAAGGGTTAATGCCTTTACTGCTCCCCACCCCTGCACCCCATTCTCTGCATCACTACCTCCAGTTCGTTCTCATCTCTACTTCTCTCATCCTCCCCCTGACAACCCTTCCCCTCTCTGAGTCTGGAGTTCTCTGCACTGCAAGGCCTGCTGAGTAGCTCAGTCTGTAGGTCCTGCTTCCCCATTTTAACAGGAGCTCCTAGCAGGCAAGGCTCTGCCTCTTTCCTCTGGATTCTCTACCCTGAAGGACTCAGGAAGCATGCCCAGGTAAGCACATGGGGGCATTTAACAAACATTTGCTGGAGCAAAGTGTGGGGTATGTCAGGAAGACTGACCGATGCCCAGGCAGCCCACAATGCCCAACAAGGAGCCAGACATATGGTAGAGCGGAAGGGCCAGGTAGATCACGTCCTCCTGGTGCACCCCGCACAGCTGGTAGAAGCCTTGGCACTGCAGGATCTTCAGATGGCTGATACGAGCAGCCTTGGGGAGGCCTGTGGGATGGCAGTGGGGAAGGTGAGGAGGGCTGGGCTCCAGGTCCCATCTGTTTCTTTGCAGGAGGAGGAACTCGGGCAGTACTGGAAGTGGGGCAGTTTGGGGGAGGTCGAGAAATGAGGAAGGTGAGCAGTTTGGAGGAAGGGAGAGATGGTTGCTGGGATCAGTACTCTCCCTGGGGGGTTTGGAGAGGTGTCCTGGGACCTGAAGTCACAGCCCCTTGTCTTCCCCTGCCTTAGTTTCTGGGAGGTAAAAACAAGGGTGCACAGGCCTCACCTGTGGTGCCTGAGGTGAAGATGTACAGGCATGTGTCCATTATGTTCTGCGGAGCTGAGAGGTACCCGGGCACTGGCTCATCCACTTCGGCCGAGGCCGCAGCCAGCAAATCGCTGATTCCAGCAGGTGTGGTTATGGGGCCTGAGGCCCACAGGTGAAGCCCCATGGCTCTGAGGGCTGGCAGGTCAGGCTCCAGGGACTCCAAGAATTCTGCATCAGGTGGGAAACAGCTCCGCGGCTCTGCCCAGAAGTCTTCCCTACCCCTTAGCCTATTTCTCGGCACTTCTCTTGCGAGAAGGTGAAGAGTATGGCCATCCTATCAGGGGTCTGGGACCAGGAGCACAATTCCTTGGGGGGAACCACAGACCCAGCCGCTTCTTTTTGCAAACCTAAACAACCCATACTTTAATTCCAGAAGCTGTTCTTTCTCCTTCCAGACCTGTTCGGGAGCCCCCACAGACACGCCCCTTTCAGTGCCTGGCCCCGCCCCGTTAGTAGCATGCTACAGCCTTACCTGGCGCCAGCACCAGCGCGCGCGCGCTGCAGCTGCGGAGGCAGTGCAGCAGGGGGCCCCGGCGTAGGGCGGTGGGCACAAAGGCGGTGCGCAGACCGGCCTTGGCTAGACCGAACCAAAGCCACAGGAACTCTGGGCTGGCGGGGAGGAGCAGCGCCACCGTAGCTCCGGGCCCCAGAGGGGCCGCGGCGCTTCCAACTTTGGATGTCCCATCCCCTTCGCACCCAGAAAACGCCACTCCGTTTCCGGCCGCATCTCCCGCTCCCTGCGCCGTCCGCCTGCCTTCCCCGGCGCTTTCTGCACTACCACCGCCGCAGGCTCCCCCGTCCCAGCCCCGCGCGCGCAGGAAGGAGCGCGCTGCCCTGTTACTATTGCGCTCCGCCTCTGCGTAGCTAAAGCGCCGCGCGCCGTGTATGAGAAAGGTGTGCGCGGGGCGTTCCCGGGCGAGCTGCGCGAGACGCCAAGCCAGGCTGCAGCCGCCGTCTGGACTTTTAGGGTCGGCGGCAGCCGCGGCCAGGGCGCGAGCTCGGAGAGCCCGTTTGCAGCGGAGGGCGCGCACGGCGAAGGCCAAATCTGCCGCCAGCCAGCGCAACTGGGGCCAGAGGTGCGGCTTCAGCAGGAGCAGCGGCAGTAACAGAAGGGGCAGCAGGAATAGAGCGGCCATGGTGCCCTCGCCCTTGACTGCACGGGTCCGACTCCAGCTGGTAACAAACACCCCAGATAATTCTTGCGGAAAAACTGGGGCCGCTTGTTCTTGCTCTTACACCTCTCTTTTCAGGGAGCGCGCGTGCGCTAGCACACGCCCCTTCCCACTCAGCCCCCACCCCCACTCCCCACGGGGCGGAGAGCAAAAGCCCGGGAGGAGTCGGGGGGAGCAGCTCCAACTCCCCGCCCTCCCCACGACCTACGCTCCGCCCTAGGCACGATGCCTCTCAGGCTGTGGGCTGCTCGGTCCCCGCTGCTCCCGCCCTCCCCCAGGCCTCGGTCCTATCCCTGCTTTAAGCCTCTTTCCCCTTTTGGGCGGGGTAGGGCACCTGGCTGCACTTTGGAGCTCTCGTGTAACAGGGCGTTTGGATCAGTTTTATCTTTCCCATTTTTATTCACGATGGGAGTCTTCTCTCCCAAGGGTCTGAGAAACTTGAACCTCCTCCTGTAGGATGCTGCAAGTCCCAGCAAGGCAGCCAGGCCCATGCCCTCCCTGAGCTGCCAGCAGCAGCAACCCCACAGGGTGGGTGGGGGCCCAAGAGCCCAAGTAGGGGAAAGGTGAAAGCCTAGACCGCCAAATTTCGGGGCGGAGGGGGGCACAGCAGAGGCCCCTCCCTTTGGGCAAGGGTACAATAATTGGGGCCAGCCAGCAAATGATTTCCATCCTGGTTTTAATTGGGGCAGAGGAAACGGGAAGGCTGAAAAAAAGAGGCAGCTGCCAGTTGTTTGGATTTTCAAAGGAGGGAGCAGCAGCTTTAAAGAGAAACGGGAACCTGGATTCTGGAAAAGCAAACCGTGGACAGTACAGGAGTTGTCTACAGACAGCCCAACCTTCATCTCCGTCTCCCCTCAGCTGGCCTCCCAACCTCCCTGGGCAGCCGGGAATAGCAGCACAGCCACTGAGCTCCTTCCTCCTAGTCCACGTGGACCAACAAGTGGCCAGACTTAGAGAAAGGGCCCCTCCTCTTGGAGTTTGAATTTATCACCTACCAGGCACATGCAGGTTCTGAACACCTCCTTCCCCTAGTCTAACCCCATACGGGCAATAAGTTATGAGTGGTTTGGGTATATGTTTTGCTTTTTAAAGACTGGTCTCTTGGAACTCTGGTGGCCTATAATGGCAAGAAGCTGTGCTGCAATCCCTAAGGTATATGGTTCGAATCCAGCAGATGCTCCGCTGGAGGAGGGACACTCACCTCCTGTACCAGCTGGATCCAATTTGATGGTACACACATCATAAAATTAAAAAAAATTTAAAAAAAGGGCTGGTCTCTTGAGGAGGAATGGGTCAGGGCTTACTGGAAAGGGTGCTGGCATCCCTTTCTGTGCCACGGTGGCAGCAAGCAAGGATAGGGGTGCACAACCGGTCCTTTCTCCTCCAGACAAGAAGAGGGGCAAGGCAGCAAAGGAATGGGAGATGCCACCAGGTCCAAGTAGAGGCACCCATTAAACCCTCTATAACCCAGGGTATATGTGGGGGGCAGCAACTCTGGCATGAAAAGAGGTTCTGGCTTGTTTTATTGTCATTTAAAAACAACTTTAAAAATGCTAATATTTCTGGCAAAAACAAACAAGGAAATGGGACCATTTGACAGTTCTGTGAAACTTGCCTGGATAGCCCAGGGCTCTAGGCTGGCTGGAGGTGGCAAACCCAGCTTGCAGGGCCAGCCACCCTCAGGTCCTTCCCGAACACTAGTGACATGGGTCCCCCAGTGAGACGTCACAGGCAGATACCTATTTCACACTGGTGTATGAAAAGTGACTATAAAATGTCTGTTTAGAGCAAATCAAGACCTGAAGGGGGAATGGGAAGGACACCCTCACACCAAGTCTCTGCTGTCACTCCAGCTTCTCCAACCAGCTGCTGTCTGTCATTTCTCTGCTGACTCAAACAGCCTTGGGGACGATGGAGATGAGGCAGAGGGCCAGAAACTTCCACAGCATCACAACTTTGCACAGCCTCTGGCCTCAGTGGGAACCCAAATATTGGGTGGGAGAGGCAGTGTGATCTGGCTGGCTGGGGGCCCCACAGGAAAGTTGGGAGGAGGGGGCTGCCCAGCAGCTTCTCAGGCTGGGCTTGAGGAGGAAGAGCATCCTTCTCAGTGGTGTGTCCTTGAAGCGCTCTCCCGTCCCATTAACCTTGATTCACCAATGAAGGGAAGGCAGTCCAACAGTGGGGGGAGAGGGGGCCCCAGGCTCAGTCACTGTCAGAACCTACAGCAGAGGATCCCTTCCGTTTCCGCTTGGTGGGCTTCGGTTTCGTGTCTTCTTCTTCCTAGAAGAGAGCAGGAAAGGAAAGGGGGAATGAATGGTCTGGGTTGCCCGGCCTCAAACGCCTGTAGCTCCTGGGCTCTGGATCAAGGACCCACCGAGGCACTGCTAGAGCCCGACTCTTCCTCAGCATTGGGGGGCTGTGTGGCATTCTTTCGACTTCTAGGGCTGGACAGAGCTGCTTTTCGCCGGCTCTTGGGTGGCTTGGTGGATGAGTCCTCGTATTCCTCAGCCAGGGAGAAAAGGTCACTGAATCTGAAGGAGAACTCTCATGAGAAGGGGTTAAGACAGCACCCCCGTCCTAGGTCCACTTTTCCTGCCAAATTTTCTCTCACCCCAGACCTGGTTCTCTGCTTCTTTTCAATCCCAATGTCTTTCTATTTTATTTCCTGTCTCCCCTTCAGGCCTCCTCCCCAGCATGCCCCTAATCAAAAGTACAAGGCCCCTTACTTCATCTTGTGGGCTTCATCACAGCTTGCCTGGACATGCTGCAGAGCCTGCAGAATTGGAGTCTGGCTGAAAACTAGAGGGACAAAGACAGGGACAAAGAGGCCAGAGGGTGACTTTAGTAAACAGCACTCTAAGGTGATTCTCTCTAATGTGTGGGCTCTGTCACCGCCCAGTTCCAGGGAGATCTCAGCCCGGGGGGCCCCCACATGGCTCAGGACATGCCGGGAACATACAGTTCTGCTTGGTGTTGGTCAGGTTGAGGCGCAGGTTGTCCAAGTGTTCCAGGATCTGTTCCAGGGTCAGCTGGGCCAGTTTACTACTGGAACTCCTCAGACTGCAAAAGGGTCAAGAAGCCAAAGTCTGAGCATGATGTGAGAGTCCAAGAGCCTTGAAATGCCCCTACCCATCCAAAAAGCAGAATTCCTCTCAAGACAAAGGTGGCTGATCCTGGAAGGGTGAGGTAGGGTCGGATATGGGAAATGTGCCTAAAACATGAGATCCTGGCTATCTGAGCCCTAGAAGAGAAGGGCAGAGGGGTCCTGCACGCCATGGAACTTCAGACCACTAGATGTCACCCACAAACCAGGCTGGGCAGCCCTGGGCAAGCTGCCCCATTGGCAGCAGTCCCTCACTCTGTAACAGTGGGCAGGAAGTGCCTGGTCTAGAGGATCTCCATGGGGACCATGTCACACCTTTGCCTCTTTCGAGGGAGGCTGTTGTTCTTGATAAGCAAGGACTTGATGTGCTCTGCCAGGAGCTCATCATGCTTCATGCACCAGTGCCGCAGGATGCTGGTGGTGAACTGGTCATCAGGGTGGCAGGGCCGGCTCAGCACCATCTTCACCATCTCCTCACTGGGCCTGGGGGGGGGTGAGCGAGTGATGGATACCACGCCACACAGCTGTCTCAGGAACCTCTGGATCGCTCACTCCAGCTACTTATTTCTGAAGCTCCAATCTCCCCACCCTGCACCCAGCATCTCTGAAGCTTCCTATTCTCACATCCCTCTCCCTCTTCTCTTCAAGCTAAGGATGCCTGGTTTCATCCTTGGAGGAAGCCAGGATACCAGAAGTGAGAGTCTTTCGTTTCAGTGGTAGTAGAAGGTGCATGTGTGAGTGTGTTGAGAAGGATATTCATCAAGCCTCATCTACCCTCACCTCAAAATAGTCACAAATCTGCCAGAGGCGAAAGGACACCACCCTTCCTGTCCCTTCATCAGAGCTGTGGGCTCCTGACCCCCACATTCCTCCAGGACACTATTGTTTCCAACCTTTCAGGTAACAGAAAAGATGGAACGAAGATAAAGACCATTTATCTGGGGTATGTTGCGAAGTGCCTATGGTGGAAGAAGGGCTTTCTACCGCCCTCCCCAGCCTCCTCTGGGCAGCTCAGGACGCTGTGAGATCCCTTTGCTCTGACCCTTCCTGCTCCTGGATTAGCTGCAGGAGTGTGGGGGAGGGGAGCAGGAGACACCGGTGACCAGAACTGCTGTGGCAGCAGGAAACAGGGATGTCCGGTCCCCACCTCCAAGGCAGCTCCTGGTGGGCAGGGGGGTAAAGTCAAAGGAAGCCTAGCTCCCAAGGGAGCTGATTATTTGTAAGCCTCTTTGGGGGAAGGGCAGAATAAGCAGATGTTGAGAATCTGAAAAAGCCCTGCAAAAAGAGCAGCAGAGGGCCTTCACTATAGCCCCTCCTGGTATGGTGGGATTGAGGGACAGAACCCCCAGCTCTGAACTTACTTCTCTCTGCGGAGCTGAAGCAACAGGCAGGACAGGGCTTCAGGGTGTTCTGTGGGGGCAAAGGAAGAGGCTGCTCAGGGGAGTGTATGATCCCAGGAAGAAATGTGGACACCTCTCCCACCCCTCCCCCAAAGGCCACTGGAAAGAGCAAGGTCACCTTCCACGAGGAGCTAGGAATACTTCCGATCCCAGTCTACTCTTACAAATTCCCCGAGTGCTGGGTGCAGCTCAAGGCCTTGCTCACCAAGGCCAGCCTGCCAGCCCTCGGTGGGAAGGGCAGAGGGGAATCTGAGCTCCTCCAGAAGCCTAGAGGCCACGGCCTCCACCATGTTTCCCACCTTCAGCACTACTCACCCTTGTACTTGAGGTGTTGCAAGATAGGGATTATCGTCTCCAGAGGGATGTTGTGGGCCAAGAAGAGCTGCCAGGCACAGTACTGCTCAAAGGTTTCCCAGTCCAGGCTCTGGACTAGAGGGACAGAAGAAACATCCCTGTCTCCCTCTGTCTCTCTTGCGCGCGCGCACACACACACACATACACACACACGCGCGCGCGCTTGGGCGACCCTCCCCCTAACCCAATGACTACTCCCTTGCCAAGCACTGATGGGATGGATGGGTTACCCTAAAACTAAAAACCACTGCCTTAAAGGAGCTATGGTGGCCTAGTGGCAAGAAGCTGCACTACAATGCCAGAGGCACGCAGTTCAAATCCACCAGATGCTCTGCTGGAGAAGAAGGGGCAATCTCCTCCTGTACCTGTCAGATCCAATTTGACGGTACACACACAAAGAATAATAAATAAAAAACAACAACAGCAAACCACTGTCTTGCTACACAGCTCATTTCCAAAGCCAGCACACCGTTTCTGTGCTCCCATCAGAGGTAAGGGTAAATCTTCCCATTTTACACAGCAAGAAGCAGATCCAGAGAGACATGGACCAAGACCACACAGCAGATTACAGTGATACTCCACCCCTCTGCGCTCCAGCCCAGCCCAGCTGTCCTGATGCTGGATCCTAGAAACCCAGGAAACTTGGGACGTCTACTTACTAAGTATGTTGAGGACTGAGTCTTTTCGAAACATGACCAGGTTCCCCATCATCACATGGCAGACTAGCTCCTGGAGCTGAGGAGGAGGAGGTGGAAGACAGAGCATTAGCTCTGAATGGGGCAGGAAGTTGGTGTAGAGGAAGAAGCGGGATGGCTCATGTGGGGAAAGGCAGAAGAAGTGAAAAGGTGGTGTAAAGTGAGAGGAAGAAATGGCACGTGAGGGACATCTGGGGTCTCTGAGAGATGAAAGGCCTGGGAGAGGAGCAAAAGGGCTGATGGGTAAATGGCCATGGAAAACCACATCAGCCTCTGGCAGTAGAGGGAGAACGGGCAACATCTCTCATGCATGAAGCAGGAGAAGGCCAGGAAAGGCTGAATCCTGGTCACAGGTGTGAGGAGGGAAAGAAAGAAAGGTCCTCTGACAATAAAGTTCCTCTTTTATGGATAGAAAAGTGAACACAGAAGAGGAGCAAAGATGGGACCTGCAACGGGTCCAAGCAAAGCTGAGCCTCCTGGCCATTCATGTG